CCATATTATATTGTAAATTTTTAAAAGTATGCTCATCGCTGAATGTGAGAGGTGCTTTAGGAAAATTGTTGGTATATCATCAGGTCCAGGTGATGTGTTCTTCAATGTAAGAAGTGCCTCGGTTAGTTCCTGTTCTGTAATGGGGTTATTTATTGAATGAAGGGTTTCGCTAATGGGAATTGTTCTATCTGTGTTTCTCTTGTAATTAAGGAATGCTGCGCTATAATTTTGGTCACTGGAATTTTTGAAATATGTTTTGGATAAGGTGTTAGCTATGTCTCTGCTTTGAGTGAAAGTGTGAGTTCCTTTCTTTATCGACCTAATGACTGAATGTGATTTTTTTCCAGACATGCTTTTGATTTTCTTCCAGACTGTGGATACATTGGTGGCATTATTGATGGTTGAAACAAATTTTTGCCATGATAATTTTTGTTCCCTTTTTAAAACAAGTCTTGCCTTTGCACGTTTGTGTTTGAAGTCAGTTAGGTTTTCAACTGTTTTATATCTTCTCATTTTATTCAGAGCTTGCTTGCTTTCTCCTACTGCATGTTCGCATTTTTCGTTCCACCAAGGGACTGGATTCCTTCTCCGTATCACCCTAGTTTTGCCTATGTTTTGGTAAGCAGCTTCTTTGATTAGATTCATAAAGCTTTGAACGGTAGCATCGACGTCATCTGTGATCTCAAAAGTGTTTAGGTTATTATCGATATAAGCAGAAAAAGAGGGCCAGTTGGCTTTTTTTAAATTCCATTTTTCTCTTGGTTGTATATCTGTAATTTCTTTGTTTATATCTTGTATTATTATTGGGAAATGGTCACTCCCATACAAATCGTCCGCGACATTCCATTGTAAATGTGTAATCAGATTAGAGGAGCACATGCTAAGATCAATTGCAGAAAAGCGTCCAGAGGCTGAATCGAATCTTGTACTGCTACCATCATTCAGTAGAATCATGTTAGCATGGTCAATTATATTTTTTATAATATTTCCCCGCGTGTCATTTTTGTATGAATTCCATATGTGACTGTGAGCATTGAAATCTCCTAATATTATCCGTGGTGATGGTATTTGTTGCAGTAATGACTCAAGCTCATTTTCTTCTAAATAATAATTGGGAGGTATATATATGTTACATATGTTGATCTTTGTATCTGATTCGACGGTAATGGCTACAGCTTCTAGATTTGTGGTAAGGGTTATAGGTTTGGCTAATATATCTGATTTTATGTATATTGCGACTCCACCGCTAGCTGTAGTTCTTTCACGGTGTTTGAAAAATCCAGTGTACTGTTTTGGTGTATGCGATTTGGTTTCGTGGAAGTGTGTCTCTTGTAGGCATATAATGTCTGGGTTGAAATCGGAAATTAATTTTAGTAACATATTTAAATGGATATAATATCCATTTAAGTTCCATTGTAGTATTGACTTGAATTTAAAAAGTAGAGTCAATAGATGAAGTATCACTGAGTTGGTCGCTGAGATTTTTTTCAAGATGCCGTTCCATTTTTTTTCGTAATCTCGTACAGCGGTTTTTCAAGGCTTTGTCTGTGATGTGTGGATATATTAGCAGAAGCATCTCGATTAATCCTTTAATATCAGATGTGTGGTCGTTGACGACGGATATTATGTCTTTTGTACCGTGGGTGTTTTCCAATAGACTTTTCAATTGGTCTGAGTTCAGTATGAGTGGCGGGGTTTGGTTGTCGATAAAAGATTTAACAGACTTGAATGTAATTTCTGGTATGTGTGATGGTTGGATATCTATTTTGGGTTTCTTCATAGTTTGGTTTTTTGGAGTAACGAAGATTGGTTCCCCAGAATTTCCAGGCATAAGTTGATTCTCAGTTGAGGGGGACAAAATTTCTGAGAGGCCACGTTTGTTACTAGTTTGTGTGTCTGAATCTGTGATATCGTTGGGTTTTGATTGGGGTTGGTTTGAAGTTGTGGCTGCAGTTGTTTGTGACGCTGAACTTGCTATGTTGGAGTTTGGAGTAGTTAGTACTGACGGTTGTTGGTTGTTTTCAACAGTGAATTGCTCTGATGCTGATGTTTGTGGTGTGGGTGTTTCTGTCTGTGTCGATGGGCATTGAGATGCAATATGACCAGAAAGCTTACATTTGAAGCATTTCTGGCTGTCAAGTGAGAGGAATATACGGTAGGTGAGGTTTTCGTAGGTCATTTCCACAGTTTCTGGAATTATGCTAGGCTCTACAGGCATTATGTATACCTGTCGCCTGAAGCTTAATATATGGCTGTACTCAGGTAAAGTTGCACCTATTCTTAGAAAGGATATGGGAGAAATGAGTTTTACGCCTTTTTGCTCTAGTATGTCTTTCAAGATTTTGTGTGGAATGGTGGGACATACGTTGGATATTACTAATCTATCAGATGGTGTAATAAGTCTGCGAGCCTTTACTGACTCTCCATTAATGATGATTTCCCCAGGATCTTCAAGGAATTTGTCTACAAGTTGCTTGCTGGATAAATAGATACATATCCGATTATTGGATATTCTGGAGCAGAAAAGGATGTTTTTTGGGTCTACTATAGGACCTAGTCTTAGCAGATAATCTTGGATTTTTAGTCCATCGACAGCGTTGAAGATGATGGCTTGCTCTTTGTGTGGGTATTTGGTAGAACTTTGACTTAATATATCAGAGTATGATTTTGCAGAGTTGGTATTTTGTGATGTGTTTGGCGAATTCATGACTGTTTTATTATTTTATCAGGCAATTTGATGTTGTTATATCCTGCGGCATCCCTGAATACGGTCCTGTCCACCGAATTCGGTTTGTTTTGGTGCGCGATTTATACAGACGCAACCAATGGATGGAATTCCGATGGCCTAGGAATTTGCAGATTGTCGTGTTGTATTGTAGAATTGAAGGCTGGTACTCACAGTCTATGATGGCTTCAATATTGGCAGGTAGATAACTTACACACTGGATTTTAATACGGCGTATTTCACTACTTTTGCTTGATTGTATCCGAGCACGATTCACTGGTTGCATGCGGCAAAGCGATCAGGAACGGACTCCCAAAATTACGATTTTCTACGTTTTTTTTTGTATTTTCAAAAACTTTGAGGAGAAATACGGGAAATCACCACCGCGCCCGCGTTGTGTGTATTTATTGTTAGCATGTATATGAGTTGTAATTAGACAGAATATAGTGAATATAATTATTTTTTATCTCTCTCATTTTTTAAATTCAGCAAATTTGTATATGTAATATCCAGAATGGATAAGAAAAGGTGACGCGCAACCAATTTTTAGTTTTGAAGCTCAAGTGAATGAATTTGAGACAAGAATCCAATGGAATTATCATCAACACATATTAGCACACAAATCCTCACTATGCACCTATGCATTTTCGTTTCCTTCTAGCTATAGTATACAACTTACAGCTTGCCATCTTTGAAGCAGAAGTTACATCACATCTGAGCCAAACATTGACAACTGAAGCCTCATGACGCTTAGGCAACACGTGCAACTACAAAACGAGATCGCAACGTTTCCATCAGCTAGTGCTAAGTTAACATCTTGTAGAAAAACCTACATAATGTCACAAAAAACAATGTAATGTCAAAAAAAACTTTTCAACAGCAATTAGCAGATGACAATTTATTTCTCATGTCAAATTGCGATCTCTTCATATTGCGTACCATCTGCGGGCTCGCACAAGTTATGGGTTTTGCCTACTTTAAGATTACGACACTGATCCAGGGGTCTTATTGAACAATTGGAGGCTCATAGACGTATTTACACATTAAAATAAAAAATATGAAATAGCACCTGCACCTGCACACATTCAAGTTGTTGCGTAGACAAGTAGCTAAAAGCGATCTTTATACTCAGTCATATTTCTTTCGTCACATCGTGTTGCAAATGCTTACTTAAGGATCCTACAAGTTAGGAACCCACAAACTATACCAGCGCAAAGCGGGTTGCAGTAGCTTAGGTTAATTTCTACAAAACAGGCTCTGCACCATCGGTCGTGGCACTTACGGTGTGGAATCTATCTGAGTATAATAAATTGCGATTGTTCATGTAATAAGTAGGCGAGAAGTTCTTGAAGTTATTGTTATTTGATGTTTGCTTGGATGCACTCTATGACAAAATTGAAGGAATTGACGACAATATTGCAGTACGCTTTTTTTATAGGCATATGTATCTCCCTTTGTCGTATCATATGGGTTCTTGCAATGGCGTGAAATTTCGAGAATAAAATAGTGTTTTTCGGTTGTTATCTGACATGAACATGATGGAAAACTACGTCACTCGTCTTCCGCCTGTCTGTCTGTTCGCTAATCCTTGGTCAATCTATAACTTCGAAAGTAGCATTCGGATTTTGATGGTATTCTGGCACAAGATAACTACTATGCCAAAGACACAAAAGCCTTGTAGATTTTGAAAATCGATCTAGTGACGACAAAGTTATGAATAAAAAGGAAAAAACTTGGTTATCTGATTTTTAGATTTATTTCCAGGCAAAGCAATGGGGCGGAGAAGTTTGTAGGGGATGGAGGATACATCCCAATTTTTTTCGCGCCAGCGTGCTTATGCTTTCAGCCGTGGTAATGCTATATGCGCGTATTAAAATGCGGTTTTAGCTTGGGATCCCACTGTTTTTAATATGGGGGGTCGGTGGACAAATAAGAAAGTAATAATTTCACTATTTTTGGTCCACCTCTTCAGAGGTCTCCTGGGACTATGCGTTTAATCTTAAACTTGTCCACCGAGCCTCAATCTTCATTTCAGAATCGCATTCTCTCGTAAAAAATACATCCGAAAAACATAGTCAGACCCCAAACGCACACCACTTTTTTTATTTTGTGGGCTGGAGGCTAATTGTATGAGCCTATTTGGCTAACTTGATCCATTTGATTTCTTTGTTATACATGACCGTAGCAAAGTTTTTCTATGATGGGCTAACTTATTGCGAACGTTTTATGAATTGATGAAAGCTTACCGTAGGACGTACGATTTTTTTTGTTTTAGGGAGCAGATGGAAGGTGAAAGACCTCACTTACAAGATAGCAAAGTACCCGGCAAAACTGAAGCGCGCTGACGTGGACAAGGAGGTCCAAAGAGCGTTCGACGTATGGACCGAATACACTGACCTCACGTTCAAGCCCAAAAGCGGTCAGGTCCACATTGAAATCAGATTCGAACACGGCGAGCACGGAGATGGAGATCCTTTCGATGGACCTGGGGGAACTCTAGCTCACGCTTATTTTCCAGTAAGTTGATCCTGTAATCACCGCATTCCATGGTAACCTCTCTGGGAAGTTCTGAGGTAACTTCTACGACAAGTTCCTTGGAAAAGTTATATAAAAGTAAAAAGGGTATCTGCTGATATAACTAACATTTCTTGATTTGATACGCATTCATCAAGGTCAAATCGCAAAATTGTCACATGCATTTACTCCAAAATATGCAATTTGGATTACGCCAGGTGAGGGTGACCAATAATTTTGACATTCGTAATTTTCAGGTATTTGGTGGAGATGCTCACTTTGATGCTTCTGAAAACTGGTCGATCAACAGTTACAGAGGAACGAACCTCTTCCAAGTAGCTGCTCACGAATTTGGTCACTCTCTTGGTCTCAGTCACTCTGATGTGAGACAGGCACTTATGGCTCCGTTCTACAGGGGCTATGACCCTATTTTCAGTTTGGATTCAGACGATGTGGAAGGTAAGAGTTTATTTTTCTTGGTGCTTCTAGGTAACATTCATCTTTCCACAGTTACAGTCCTATACTATCTCTTCATTATAGGTATTCAAGCACTCTATGGCAAGAAAACGAAGAAAACAGGAGGTCCTCGTTTCGATGACGTTCCTGACGATGATCAAGATGGCGATTTTGACAATACTCACAACAATCCAAGAAAAACACCAGCTCCATCAGTTCCAGATGAAAACCTCTGCAAAGATCCCACGTTTGACACCATCTTCAACTCTGCGGAAGGATTCACTTACGTATTCAAAGGCGACAAGTATTACAAGCTGACTGAAGAAAGTATAGCTCCTGGATATCCTAAGAAGATCTCAGACAACTGGCCTGGATTGCCTGGCAATATTGACGCTGCATTTACTTATAAGAATGGGAAGACTTACTTCTTCAAAGGCTCAAAATACTGGAGGTAAGATTTAAAGATTGAATGCAATAATACATCTGTACTTGGATAATTAGTATTGAGAGTGTCATTGTGCCCATAGCCATACTTATAGTGCAGGTCAAACAGGTTAGTGATGTTTTAGAAACTGCTAAAGATAGAGAGTGTTTGTTGTATGTTGTTTCACTTGGACACGTAAAATGTGCTCATTTTAAGATTATGGTGAATGTGCGTATACGATAATGAAATGTGCACATCCACCAGAATTTGCAACAGTTGAACAGCTCAAGGTAGTTTCGAAAATTTAAAGTTCGTCAGTTTTGGCCTAAAAAACAATAAGTCTTAAAACATTCTTCGGGGTTTTGGAGAGCAAGTTCGTAACTGTAATTCAGATATGTAGCAGCCTCAAAAATTATAATTGCCAACCTTTCAAGTATTGAATATACCCGTTTTTTGGGTTTTTCAGACATTATATCGCTTAGAACTCGAAAACAGGCAAGTTTAGAGAAAAGTTACTTCGGGCCTTTTTTGTTCAGAATGATCTAAATAGCCTGAAAGAAACATTATTTGTTATTTTCTCAAAAACGCTGTAACAAATTTCATCCAGGTTACCAAACGGTTATCTCTTGTTTCAACAAACCTGATCATAAAAAAAAATCGGGTTGATAAAATGTCGTAAATGCGAGATTTTATCCCCGTCCAATACCTTAGCATCCTTAATATCATGGAAGTCATTAATTGATTACTGTGGAGTAAGAAAGTGTAGCTCACCAATACTAACCAATTCCTCACATTTTCCTTAAATTTCCTTCTATAAAACTACACATTACCACTCCACCCATGCATCTATAAACTCGTTTGCCACAATCTGGCAACATCGCGCTAATCCCTAAAGTATATAGAAGCTGTGATAGTCCAAGAGCCGGCAGCCAATTTTTGGTTACACCTGAATCAAGTTTGGTTAAACAATTTTTTTTAATAAACTTTAAATAAATATTTCTTCGCCCGGTAAAATTTTGTTCAGGTTTGTTTCCATTACAACTTTGCGCCGAAGCATATACCGCGTCATGATCGAGCACATTTACCAGAAATGGAAACAGTCTGCAACTTGTTGCAACAAGACCGCCCTGCACAAATACTGAACATCTGCTGCGACATGTGTCGCAACTTGCGCCGTAGACAGTTCAGTTTGCAACACACGCAACTTTGCAGTGACATATAGTTGGAGATGTTGAAGCAAATGTGCGGGGAGCATGTTGCGCAACATGTGTCAGACAGTCTGCAAAGTGTACCGCAACATGCGTCCGGCAACTTGATGTATTGGACATTTGAACATTTTTTGAATTTGCTCACCGTTTCCAACTTCCAGGTATAAGGGTAAGAAGATGGACGGTCTTTACCCCAAGGACATCTCAGAAGGCTTCACTGGAATCCCAGATGATCTAGATGCAGCTTTAGTATGGAGCGGTAACGGAAAAATCTACTTCTACAAAGGCGGCAAATTCTGGAGGTTTGACCCATCACAAAGGCCACCAGTCAAAAGCACGTATCCGAAACCAATCAGCAACTGGGAAGGTGTTCCCGACAATATGAATGCTGCCTTCCAGTGGACCAACGGATACACGTATTTCTTCAAAGATAACGCTTATTATAGGTACGTGCAATGACAATGTTAATGTTAACTCTAGCTAGTTTTTATGGATAGCGAAAAAATCATTTATAAGCTGATAATCTATTTCCATACATGTTTGCAATATAGAATGATTAATCGGTAGTTTTATCTGGAATGTTTGGAGAAGTTTTGGAAGGTTGGTAATCGACCTGGTCTTTACGAGTTCTCACTTTGTTGCCTCGTATCTTTTCAATTCGTGTCACCATATTAGATAAATGCACTCAATAGCAGTTTTTTCCCAATATCTTCGTTCCGACTTTTGATACAGTAAAATTAAATATTTGATAAACTAAACTAGGTACAGAAAATATGCTACACTTTTTATATCCAGCATTTTCTTGTGCGATAGACAGATTTGGCGTACGATCGCGTCAAAGTTTTGAAAACAGGTTCTATATACAGGGTGGGACAGTTCACATTTCAACCGGAGCGCAACGTGCTTTTGCTATCGAGGCTTACTTTAAGAGTGGCTGCCCGGAAATTTTGTACACGATACAACATTCGCTGACCAAGAGATGCCCCAAATAAGAACCTATTGAAAAAGTGGATTAAGAGGTTCCGCGAAACAGGCTCTACTCTAAGTCAATCTATTCCTGACCCCACATCTACTGTATCAACCGAACAAAATGTGCGTCGAGTAAATGATGCGGTCATCGGAACTACTTACCTAGTTTTAATAATTGGAAATGGCGACGAATAAACAGTAATTCAAAGTTGTTTACTGTATGAGTACAAACTTGGCACAAAAGCTGCAGCGGCGGCAGATGTCGTTCAAAAAATTTTCTTCGGGAGATCTCAGTTTGAGCGATGAACCGCGCTCAGGGAGACCAAAAACCATGAGCAACGAGGATCTTCGACAGGTGGTGGACGCAAATTCCAGGACAACGTACCAAGAACTTGCAGAAATGTTCAGAGTGAGTCCTGAAACTATTCGTTCGCATATTCATCCGCTATGAAAAACGTGGAAGTTAAGCAAATGGGTCCCACATGAACTGACGATGATAACAAATTAAGTCGTCTTACAAATTTGTTCAGCAAATATTTCACGCAATCCTAATGAACCATTTCTTGATCTGCGACGAAAAATGGATCTTGTATTCGAATTCTAAGCGTTCATATCGTTGGTTGTCGCCTACTGATTCCGTACCACACACGCCCAAGGCTCCCTTGCACCCAAACAAGGTTTTGTTCTGTGTTTGGTGGCCGGCAACTGGAATTGTCCATTATGAGTTTTTGGAAAGGGGTCAAACCATCACTGCTAACTTGTATTGTGAGCAGCTTCAACGAGTACAAGCAGAATCAGCCTCCTAAAACCAATCGGAAGAAGGTGATATTCTTGCAGGATAACGCCAAGCCTCATATCCCAAGAGTGACCCGAGAAGAAATTTCTGAACGCGGCTGGGAAACTTTACCGCAGCCGCCATGTTCTCCCGACAATTCGTTCAATGATCATCACCTTTTTTTTGTCTCTGTATGAGGCACCGACGGTTCACAACTCGAGATGGTGTAATAAATGCAGTCCACCAATTTTCTGACACAAATCTAGGGAAACATCATTGAATGTGATGGTAATTACTTCAACGGATGTTGAATCTTTTTCCTACTTAGCGCAGACCCGAGGCCCATGTTCACTTAGACGGTTATGTGGACAAGCAGCATTGCAGATATTGGGAACCAATGAACTCAAAAGAGAAACATCAACAACAGCTATATAGTCGAAAGGTGACTGTTTGATGCTCCATATCCTTTAGCGGTGTTGTTGGGCCGTATTTCTTTGAAGATGAAAACGGTCATGCATTGACAGTCAATTCGGAGCGATACATGATTTACACTTGTTTTGCTCCTATTGTAAGAACAGAACGTCGAATTAACAGAAACACATGGTTTCAACAAGAATGGGGCCACTGCTCATACTTCCAGAGAATCGATGGACACGGTGAATGCACTTTTTCCTCAATAAGTTTGGAGATATTCACTGGCCTCCTAGGTCACCCGACCTAACGCCATGCGATTATATTTTGTGGGGTCATCTGAAGTCATAAGTGTATTCCAATAATCCTCGAACACTGGAGGAGCTTAAAGACAACATTCGGGGAGAAATAAACAACATCATTCCGGCACTCTGTAAGAGAGTGTTTCAGAACTTGCGCGCACTTAAGACATAAAACCCTCCGAATTTACAAATATGTTGATAGTAATAAATATTTTCTTTTCATTAAGTTAGTATGATTTTTCTTAAATCAAAAAGTGAACTTTCCCATTAGACACCTTGACGGCAGCTTTTCCAATTTTTACTTTCCAATCTCATATCTTGCCGCTTGCGTCGCTATGTTGTCACGTTACAGCTGTTAACAGGGTAAGTACCCTCCTGAAAATAGCCCTTAAAACTTCGAGGAAAACAACAATTTTCTCAACAGGAGTATCTTAAATTACTTTCTCGCAAACCAATACTCACTTGAGAGCCATTCGTTATCGAGGATTTGAACTTTCAACAAACCGCACGTCTGAAAAGTTCTCGACGCAACTCCAATCCATCCTTAGAACTAACCGATCCGCTCGCGGACGCGAGCTTATATTCCTCCCTGATTTTCCATTCACATAGGATGTTATGTTAGCATACTTGAAATAATTGACTATGAATTTTTTTGCAACGTATCCCATGTACGACAAATGTTTGACTGTCTTTTCACCGTCATTGTGTCCAGCTATTTTATCGAATTTTTATTTTTTTTATACTCCAACTACCACGAAGGCCTAAGGCCTAAACACCCATTGGGTACATTGGGGCTATAAGGGGATACAGGGGAAAGGGGGAACGCCACACGGACTCTGGCGAGGGAACACGTGTGCATGCAACATGCACACATTCTGGCTCCGCCTACGAGATCCGCCGGGTGGTACCTCCACCTACGGACAATCACAACATCCATAGCCAAGAGAAAAATTTCTCCTGGGACGGGACTCGAACCCGCACAGCGCACGGCGACTGATCAGGAGACCGAAGAGTCTACTACTGCGGCCACCGCTGCTGCCTCAATTCTTTCAAAATTCACGTTTAAGCCTTTTAATATGAGATGGGTGTTCTTGGCGTGCGGGCCCAGCAAATTTTGATCTAACATGTTTTGGGCGTCATATGCCCGCTGTGGAATCGACAACGGTAAAACTAAGAGGTAGCAAAACAAAAATTCGAACAGGTATCAAATTTATGAAAATATAGGATTTCCTCAAAACTTAGCAGACAGCCCCCTTTTTTGGCACCAAATGATTTTACTGTTGCTGGTTAACTCCATAGACAACCTCTCATGAGAAGCATAAATTTAGTTTTTCCGTGTTTCCAATAGATCCCTCAACAAAAAAGACCACTTTAAAATGTTAAGATAGTGAACTGTATTTTTACTTTATACACCACTGGCGTGGAAGTATTGTAATAATGTTTTTATATGACGTGTCCATCACGAGAAACCATGTCACTCATTTCCATTGTCTATCTGTCTCTGTCAGTCCGCTAATCCTTCTCACACAAGGACGAAAAAGCTATATAGTTTTTGGAAATCAATCCAGTGCCGCTGGAGCTCGATGCAAAAAAATAAAAAATTAAAAATCACTAAAACCTCGTTTTTTGACGTTTCAGAGATTCTGATATTTTTTGAAAAAAGTTTAAGGGGTGAAAAATTGGAGGGTGGGGGGTTGTTGGGGGCGGGTTAGGGTATATCTCAATTTTTTGACAGTGGTATACTTAGCCGTGGTAATTCTCGCACCTTTTAGACGTATTTGACTCATACATCATATATTTCAAAATTTAAAGAATTGATGAGTACAGACATTGTTTTAGCTTTTGAAATTGTAGAGGGGACTAAGAATTTAGGAATTATATTGGACAAAAATTTAAGTTTTAAGAACCATATCATTAATAAACTTGCTATTGTAAATATAAGTCCTTTGGAGATACAAACATGTTTTAACCAATGATATATAAAATTGAAACTTACCAATGCATTAATCCTCACTCACCTTCCATTAAAAACGAAATGAGTTGAAAAAGTGCTACTACTGCTATAAAGATTTGACTCCACAAATCACTGGACAACAAATTTTAGTTTTTTAATTGTATCTTGTGGGAAAAGTGCACTTCTTTGTTAATTTTGGGGCGCTGAATCCAAAAATGACAATGAAATAAAAAAATTAGTTGCGGTTTAGAAAAAAAACTTTTTATTTTTAAGGATATATTAAAAAAAGTAACAAGATTCATATACTTATAAGAATCACTATATGCGCTGTCTTTTTGCTGTTCTTTTATGGATCGTTTCTGGAGCATCTCTACCAAGAGTCCAACAGTAGTCTGGAAGGATTCCACTTTCGCTGGTACCTTTTTTCCATTGTTGAAATATCCTGATGAAAACGTTCGCCGTGCTCATTCACTTACGGCTCCGCAATTGTCAGGAAGAAAGTCCAGGTGTGAGTGTAGGAAATGTATCTTAAGAGACATATTACAGCCCATCTTTTGATACGATGACAGCATATTTTTGACAAGGGTTTTATAGTTGTCAGCTTTTCTATTTCCCAAGAAATTAGTGACCACCAGACGGAAATCATTCCAAGCAGTTTTTTCAATACCTGTTAAGGTGTTTTCAAACTGTGTATCTTTCAAAATATTTCGAATCTGTGGCCCAACAAAAATACCTTCTTTAACCTTTGCCTCACTTAGTCTTGGAAATTTCTGACGCAGGTATTGAAAAGCTGACCCATCTCTATCTAATGCCGTGACAAAGTTTTTCATTAGGCCCAACTTGATATGCAGTGGTGGTAATAAATTTTTTTTCGAATCTACTAATGGCATATGCTGTAAATTTTTTTGTCCTGGCTCTAGGAATTGACGAACAGGCCAGTTTTGCCTGGTGTAATAAAGTGCCTTTGCCCGACTGTCCCATTCACACAAAAACAGCAAAACTTTGTGTAGCCTAGCTGCAGCCCAAGTAAAAGTGCAACAACTTTCAAATCGCCACAAATATGCCACTGGTGCTCATCGTATTTTATGCATGTCAATAGGTACTTCATATTGTCATATGATTCTTTCATGTGAACTGCATACCCTACAGGAAGAGATGGTAAAATATTTCCAATATGCAATAACACTGCCTTCAAACTCAATGTTGAACTGTCTATAAACAATCTCCATTCTTCTGGGTTATAGTTTATATTTAAAGCCGCCAGTAAGCCGTTAATGTTACTGCAGAAAACCAAGCTATTCTCCATATTGAAAAATGGTTCTAAGTCTTTGTGGCGTTTACGAAAAACACATACCGAAACATCGTCTTCTAACAAGTTCCACTGCTGCAGTCTTGATCCAAGTAACTCTGCCTTACATTTTGGAAGTTCTAAATCTCTTACAAGATCATTTAATTCTGACTGTGTTATTTTGTGCGGTTGGTGGCATGACGTGCTCGGTATAAAATCAGGATCTCTTGACGTTGATGGCATATCTTCTTCCTGACGAATCACTCGATCGCCATGATCTGATTCGTTTTCTGATTCGCAAGTGTAGGGGGTTTTGGAATAGGATTTTCGTCACTGTGAGGCACAGGTCTCATCGCAGATGGTACGTTTGGGTAGTTAGTAACCGATTTTTTTTTCTTGGACATACCTGTGGCTTGTCCAACACAAGGTACCATGCAAAAGTAACAATCATTAATATGATTTGTAGGCTCTCTCCAAACCATTGGGACAGCAAAGCGCATAGACCGTTTTTTGCCATTTAACCAGCTCCTCAGACTTGAAGCACATGTATTACAGCTGATGTGGAGTGCCCACTGTTTGTCACCTAGTTTACAACCGAAATAAAGCTGATATGCCTTTGTTATTAGTGGAGTAATAGACCGTCTCTGAGACGCAAAAGTCACATCACCACACACGTAACCAAACTGATCTGGATTGTTTACACACTTTCGAGACATCTTGCATGAACGCTGTCAGCCAACTGAGGAAAAAATGGCTAATATAAAACAATATAATGTACACGTATGTATAACGTAACACAATCATGCCGATTACATCATCTTTCCTTGCCGAATATAAAAATGTAGCACGTGCATTCTTGTGAATTACAGTATATTAACACAGTCACAGCAGGAACACATACAATTACCGTATCTCTAAAACTTGAACTAATATTGAAAAAATAAGTTTCGTTCCGGTTTTAGCACATTAAAAATAGTAATATTTTGTTGATTTTATTTAGAATATTTTTTGGCTGTTGATCAGTGAAATTAAACACTATCTTCCATTAACACTCAGACTATACCGTATCATATACTGTGTTGTGCATAATATTTGTTGTGAATACTAGTTTGTGTGAAGGTGTAACTGCCTCCAAAAATGTTTATAATTTATTTTATTAGGGAGCGAAAACCTAAAGAGCTCCAAATTTGTATAAAAGGACATCGTAAATATGTCAATTTTAGTTATATTAGTTTGAGTCTGACTAACTTGATCCGTTTAATTTTATTGTTCCTGGCTAACTTTTTTTCTCAATTTATGCCTTACAAATTTATGCCTTACAGAATCCTTTATAAACTAATGAAAGCGCTGCGTAGCAGTGTAGAGTCAACCTACTTGATGCCATTTTTTAGTCTGTAGAGAGTAATAAATAAGTTTTCTTTTCAGGTTTAACGACCGCGCATTCGCGGTAGACCAAACGACTCCAGCCTTCCCAAGGTCGACGGCGTACTGGTGGTTCGGTTGCACGAACGCGCCATCGGGAACGATCGCACCTAGTGAGTCGAAGAAAGAGTGGCTTCGTACTGCCGGTACTGCTGATGGTGAGGAGAGCTACAGCGACGGAAGGTGGCAGAGTGTCAATGAGACAGACGCAGGTAGTACGCACGGGGTTTGGGGATGGGCGGGAGCTGCAGTGTAGCTATAGCTAAATTGGGGAGGCGTGAATTTGTAGGGAGTACTTTGCAATTGTGGTACTGTTTGGCGGGTCGAGTGGTACCAGTTAGATATCAATTATCGTTTTTGACAAGTTGGTAGCTTAATGTACATTTTTGTTGAGAAATAGTTTTGAATCAGGTCGAAGTGACAAGGCCTTTCTCACCGAGTGGTCATGGCGACGTTATCAGAAACTTAGCCAAATTAGCTTATTGAGATGAATATAGCAACTATATAGGGTGTTCATTTGTAAACCTCCCATCACAGATTTATCGAAAACCACTGATTAAATGAAAATACGCCGAGATACGTCAAGAGATTGGTCAAGGGGGCCAACTTTTTAACCAAAAACCACTTCACCCCTTTCACCCTCTGCCCCCAGGGACATCCCATTAAAAATTTTAACTGATTTTTCAAAATCGGTCGACTCGTTTTCAAGAAAATTAGAAAAATCTCTATTTATCTTAAGTTCTTCAGATAGAAAACAAAAACACACGAAAATATCACTTTGTATTCCAATAAGTGGTTAAAATTTTGCCCGTTATTGGCCAAGCAATTCCTGATGGATATTTTCAAAAACATGCGGGATAACTTTCGATGACGCGTTAAAATAAATGTGCATACACTAAACTCAAATCGCCTATTGAAATCATCTTCGGTTAACTCTTGCAATATTTTCATTTTGATCGGATGAAATTTATGGAGTTTAGTAACTGTGTGTATAGGGCCTAATACAATACCAGTTGCAGCACCAATTTTGCGTAATGAAGTATTAGGATTTATTCCAAAATGACCCAAAACTTCAACTTGAGCAGCTTCATGCAAAGCTCTCCGATGATCACGTTTCTTATTTGCAAGAGATTCAGTTTGAGTAAATTTAGTAACAAGGTCCAAAAGATACCTATGCGATATTATCTTCCCCGGATGTCTGGCTTTAAACGTGACAACAGTTTGCCGAGCGTATTGATTTTGGGTACCATAAATTAGAACTATTTCCACTCTTTTAGCTAGTGTGTAAACCATTTTGGAAGTAAAATCTGAATCAACAAATTAATTTTCACTATCCCAAGATTGTCACAAAGGCAACTGACAGCAAATTAAATTATTTCTTTCCCTTAGCAACAAATAACTAAACAGGTGTAACAATAAATACAGTTCGATGACAAGAATGCGGAAAATTCGGGTTGTTATTTGGTTGTTGCCACGTCTAACCTTCTGAATTGCTGTTTATGTTGGAGGCTTTCATTATAAATTATAAACGAATTGCAGATTTGGCAACCCCGAGCGGGCAACATTTTGAACACTTATTGAAATAAAAAGTAACATTTTCGTGTGTTTTTCTTGTATATCTGAACAAATTAAGATAAGTAAAGATTTTTCTAATTTTCTCGAAAACGAATCGACTGATTTTAGAAAATCGAATGTCAAAATAAAGAGCTTCGAAAGACCTTGCAAACAAGCTATTACTCGATACCGTTTGTTATTTGAAATCCTCAAGGGGATGACCCTGGCGCGAGTGGGTGAAAAGTAGTTTTTGGTTAAAAAGTTGACCCCCTTGACAAATCCTGTGTGTGGTTTCCGATAAATCCGTAGTGGGAATTTTTCAAAAGAACACCCTGTATATTTCAGTTACGCCATCCTGGAGGGAAAGCACTCTTATTCAACATCATCAGTTTGAAGCGTAGTTTATTTGTTGCCTAGTCATTTATTGGTGACTGAGGTTGCCGCTGTATACAGGCTTTTGCTGCTTGGTAATATTAGCGATACTTTCTTACATTTCGCTTCCCATCTGTTTTCATGCAATTTCATTTTTTCGCCGTCTCACGCACGTGTAAGCCTTCCCTGAGATTTTCCCTTCACCCAGCTCTATAATACTTAATTTAATTATTTATTATGTAATTTGGAAAACAAGCCTTTCTAACCTTTCTGCGACATCATACATTTTATACAGGATGTCCCGAAAAAAGTGTGCAATATTCTACCAGCAGTTTCTAGAGCTCAAAATAGGAAGAAAAGTTTATATAAATATAGGTCGACAAACGTCCCCTAAGGGCGCTACGGTCTTTTAAAGGGGCTCCCCTGAAGATGGGTTTTCCTTAATATTTCCAAAACGTGTTGAGATAAAGACATACAATTTGGTATTCTAGCCTAGTTTTATATGCTGGATTTAAAAATAGTAACAATTTTATACAGTTTTGTTTGGAAGCGTATTTAACAGGGACGGATTCAGGTTATTTGAGCCCCAAAATTTTTATGTGCTTCTATTTTTGAAATTCAATTTTAGAATTTGAAAATTTAGGGTTTTCTAAATAAAAAAGGTACTGTTATTGAATATCTATAAATTGTGCCATTTTTGAATAAAATAAAACTAAAGAATTTGTCACATGATAGAAAATGTACTGCGAATTTAAATGAATTGTTGACTAATTAGCCCTGGCAACAAAAAAACAAATTTAATAATTGTGTAAATATTACATAAATACATATTTCTATTGCAACATAGCTAACATTTAGGCAAAAACAAAAGAAATAATTTTTTTCTACGAACGAAATTGAAATTTGTCTAAAAAAGAAAACATTCAGTTGGATATACTTAAAACTAGCTTTACAGTAAGTGTCCAAATAAATTCACATTTTGTTGGATACAGAGTCTCGCTCGACGAACTAATGATTGCGTAGCCAGAAAAGTGGAAGACTTTTTTCTTCTTATTTCATTTGCAGCCTGACGGATTCTTTGAAGTAAATCTTCTTGAGTATTTACTTCTGTCGAGTAAACTAGGTCTTTTAATGACCCCCAAAAACAGAAATCCAATGGATTTAGGTCAGGTGAACGTGGCGGCCACGCCCCAGGACCTCCTGGGCCTAACCATCTGTCTGGAAAATGGACATTCAACCAATTTCGAACATTGCGTCCAAACTGTGCAGGGGCGCCATCATGTAGAAAAAACATATTTTCTTGAAACTGCTGGCGCACATCCAATGGTATTATATCCATGAGCCCATTCTAAAGAAAGTTCAGATACACCTCTGAATTAAGACGATTATGAAGTACAATAGACCTAATTACTTGATCCCCAATTACTCCTGCCCATAAGTTCAATGAAAATCTATGTTGGAAATTTGTACGGCGAACAACTTTTGGATTTTCATCTGAACAGTGATGCATGTTGTGGAAATTAAAAGCACCATTCCTAGTAAATATTGACTCATCCGATCATAATATTCTAGGAATAGTGTTTTCATTTGCTCCGTTAAATGCTGCACCCATTTAAAATGATAAGGATGTAATCCTTGCATTCGTGTCATTCTTCCTATCTAAAATTATTATTTTTATGATAACTATCAAATAGGTATTCACAAATTTTTCTTACTATTGATCGAGGTATATCCATATTTTCTGAAACATTTTGTATGCTTATTTGCGGATTATTTTCAAATATATTTAAAGCAATATCCATACGATGATTTCCCAGTGGCCTTCCTGAGCCCTGCATGCGGTGAAAACTTCCATCGTTTGACAAATTCCTGTGAATATCAGTAAACATTCGACGTCCAGGTACTATGCGATTGGGAAATCTTCTTTGAGATTCTCTTACGGCTGCCAATGAACTGCTATTGCAAAACCCGTACACAAAATTCATGTCAGTTAGTTCTCTGTCTGTAAATCTTGGCATTTTAAATCGATTTAATATAAATTTTGATTTTAATCTAGTAATTTTACACTGCTAACAATGTCAACTTAATGTCAAAATAAGTCATAACAAATCAAAACAACTTTTGTTTGCAGTCATGGCTAACTATGTATAATCAACAATTCATTTAAATTCGCAGTACATTTCCTATCATGTGACAAATTCTTTAGTTTGATTTTATTTAGAAATCGATATTCAATAAGAGTACCTTTTCTATGTAGAAAACCCTAAATTTTAAAATTCTAAAATTGAATTTCAAAAATAGAATCACACAAAAATTTTGGGGCTAAAATAACCTGAGTCCGTCCCTGTTACATACGCTTCCAAACAAAACTGTCTAAAATTGTTAATATGTTCAAATCCAGCATAAAAAACTAGGCTAGAATACCAAATTTTATGTCTTTATCTCAACACGTTTCGGAAATATTAAGGAAAAACCATCTCCAGGGGAGCCCCTTTAAAAGACGGTAGCGCCCTTAGGGGACGTTTGTCGACCTATGTTTATATAAGCTTTTCTTCCTAATTTAAGCTCTAGAAACCGCTGGTAGGATATTGCACACTTTTTCGGGACACCCTGTATAAGATGTATCATGTTGTTGCAGAAAGGATAGAAAGGCTTGTTTTCCAAATTACATAATAAATAATTAAATGAAGTATTATAGAGCTGGGTGAAGGGAAAATCTCAGGGAAGGCTTACACGTGCGTGAGACGGCGAAAAAATGAATTTGCATGAAAACAGATGGGAAGCGAAATGTAAGAAAGTCTCGCTAATATTACCAAGCAGCAAAAGCAAATGATGCTTGCAATCTGAAAATGTGACATTATTACTAGTATTTCATCAGCTCGACAAAATAGTAATTTATGAAAATCAGGAATTATCAAGCAGCTTACCAACTGCTTGTAGTTAAATCTAAACTGCTAACCAATGAGCTTTCATTATTTTAATTACCTACATCATATAACTGAAGTATAAAGGAGACGGTAAAGTCAGAAAAATCTATTAAAACCAATTAAAAGTTTTAAAGCAATAAAGCAGTTCGTATACATTGGTTTTCTAACCGGGATACTTTGTTCTTAGTAACCTAGAGCCACTTAAGCTCTCAAATAGGAAGAAAATACATAAATAAAATGGATAACTTGGAAACTGCTACCAATCTTCTTAGTTTCCTTGATCCAAGTTCAAAGGATAATCAAGATATTGATTTATAATAAAATGAGCGTGATGAATTTATTAACCATTTTAAACGACCGGCCACCATCATTTACTAAAAATTGGGATCCAAATGAAATTCATGCGCTTAACAATCATATGTGCTATGCGATTCTTATTAATATCTAACCTAGCTAAAGCTAAGGCGTACTGCAAGGGGTATACAAACGGATAACCAGTCGATGAATAGCTCTCTTCACCAAGTATGTACCCCCACTTACGTCATATTTGCTTCTGCATGCTTCTACGCTACAGTGTGCTAACCACATCACCAAATACTATAGATATAGTTGTTAGTAACACCCTTCTTGACACCTTTTTGTTGCTCGTTAGGTTTCCGTGGATGTTAGACGTTTTTGCTGATCACATGGGGTCAACAGAAAGGTGTTAATTGTCAGAATGCATGTTTTTTGCTGCTGATGCATTGGCTAGCAAGAAATAGGCATCAAAATCAAGCTTCACACTAACACATACTTCATTTAACCATCAAAGCACATTCTCACACTGTTTGCACGGCTGAGTTTGCCTGCACTGGAAAATCAAGGAAATAGACGGATCTGGGTAGTCTATTCGTTTTTGTAGTTAGACATTTTATGTTTAGTTAATAAGTTTAGAGTTTTTGATTTTTAATATTCCTGTGATTCAATAAATTTTGCTGGAAACTAAGATTGAAAATGCATGCAATTCAACACAACCTCTGACAAGCGCGTACTGAGTTTTCCATTAAGGACTTGACAACTTTCTTTTTAAATAAAACGCAACCATTTGAGATATCTCGAATACTTTATTATATAGTTCTTGAGCTAATTTGATCTTATAAGGGTGCAGGCCAAGATCTCTTCACAAAATTCGTCACAGGGTGATCCGAGCGATGTCCAATTCTTGAGAACACCGTGAAATCGACGTGTTCTGATGGTTTGGGACGGAAGCTTGAACGGTAGCAATATTCTCGGCACTTCGACCAACCAGTTGTTTCACTGCCACGGAAACATCCAGCAGCGAATTCGTCGACTCAATTTTTTTTATTAGACTATGAATTGCTTGTCTACTGGGACGAGGATTACGACCCAAAATTGGCGTTACCGCTCTTAAAGTTGCAGTCACCGACTCGGAATTTCGGTAGCAAATTTAAATTATTTGTAACCGCTGGTCATTCGTGTACTTCACCATGATGAAAATATGTTCTTTACTGAATGTTTTGACATTGACAGTTCGGTAATTGATTCAAAGGTGCGTTCACAATGAAAGTTCAAAGTTGTCCAGTTCCTATTGGAAAACCCAATAATTACAGTATATGGGGCTAGATGTATTTTTTGATTGTTTAATTTTTTCACGAAATCAAAATTTTTGAAGCGAATATTTTTTAATTTCAAGTTGAAAAATATTAGAATTTTTTTGCCACACACATAACAGATTGACACATTGAAGATTTCAAAATCTTCTGTAAGTCTAAATAATTAATTTTTACTGTTTCTGTCACGTATAAGGAAATTTTAATTTTAATGATTAATGTTTATCCAATCTTTCTATCGGATTAGCTTTTTTTACGCAGTTTCTAGATATGGACCTCACCCAAATAAAGTGATGAAATCATAAGTACATGTTTTCTCAGTGGTTTAAGCTAGTTGAGAATATTAGAAAAATCGAAGAAAACACCTCCACAGCTGTAGTATACGTAGCTTAATGAATAGTGTAAAGTAGTCGTTATATTTTATTTTTTATTTTATCTTTTTTTTAACGAATATCACATATATTACAGAAAACTACCGGAGATCACCCAGGCACTGAAGCCGAGAGCAAACCATTTTTTGTTATAAGTATGTGCCGTTATTTCATTTTCTCATCCTACTCACCACTAGGTTTAAGAATCAGCTTCAAAATAGGCATTAGAACTACGTAAATATTATTATGCAACTTTTGTGTCAACAACTTCAACGTGATAGCCCAATTTTTCATTTATCAGGTTTTAATGATTCACAAAAAGAGGTCCCAGACAAGGAGTCAGTCAACATTTGTTTGAGGAATAAAAAAGCTTCACTTCCCAGATAATATATCTAGTGCCTATTTTTGACTTAGAAAATCTTGCAGCATTCTATTAAAATTTTTGATCAGCTTCCTTTTATCTGCAAGGTTTTCTTATCATGTGCATGCTTATTTAACAATCTAATATTTTAAGTTCATTGCTAAGAGGCTTAAGTGTAGGTAATGTTTCTCAATATACCAACGCAATGTCCCAATAATTAAGGAAATCCCAACTATTAGTATTAGACACGACATCAACTCTGCGTTCATTAGAGGCCTTTTTATGGAATTTCTGATCATTGCCTACTACAATAAACACCTTCGTCTTCATCATCACGGATACAAATATCCAACAAAAAGAAAATCGGATGGATTGGTACGAAAGTGATCCAAAATCAGCCATGTATAACTATTTTCCTGTCATATATGAAAAATTCTCTTTGCCCTGTTTTTTTTTCATGATGACGAGAATTACACCACAAATCGAATCTTATGCTCACACCAATATGCTCACGTCGACAGAACTATACAGGGTATTCTGAAACTTGGGACCTTCCTCTTTTTAAATAGTTGCAATGGACGTTGGACCGTAGCGCAACGTGCTTTTGCTATCGAGGCTTACTTTAAGAGTGGTGATTCATACGCAGCTGTCCTTCAGAAATTTTGTGCACGCTACAACATTCGTCGACCAAGAGATGCCCCAATAAGAACTTATTAAAAAAATGGATTAAGAGGTTCCGTGAAACAGGCTCTACTCTTAGTCAAACCACTCCTGGCCCCACACCTACTGTATCAACTGAAGAAAAGATGCGTCAAGTAAGTGATTCCGTCATTGCAAATCCTCTAATTCTGTACGGAAGCATTCCACTGCTTTGGGAATCCCTAGGTCAACACTGCAAGGCATCATGTAGAAAAGAAATGGGTTTTCATCCTTATAAAATCCAATCAGTCCATGCCTTAAAGGAAAGTGATTACGTATTACGGAAATCTTGTGCTGAATTGATGTTGAATCTTGAACACGAGGCCCATTTTCACTTAGGCGGTTATGTGAACAAGCAAAATTGCAGATATTGGACATCAACTAACCCAAAAGAGAAACATCAACAGCTATATAGTCCAAAGGTAACTGTTTGGTGCACCGGATCCTCTGGCGGTATTATTGGGCCGTATTTCTTTGATGAAAGATGAAAACGGTCATGCAATGACCGTCAATTCCGAGCGATACAAGGTCATGATTGACATTTTTTATGTTCATATTGTAAGAACAGAATGTCGATTTAACAGAAACACATCGTTTCAACAGGGGCCAATGCCCATACTTCCACAGAATCGATGGATACGGTGAAAGCACTTTTTCCCTAAAAAGTTATACCGAAGTTTGGAGACATTCACTGGCCTCCTGGGTCACCCGACCTCGCGCAATGCGATTATTTTTTGTGGGGTTATCTAAAGTCAAAAGTGTATTCCAATAATCCACGAACACTGGAGGAGCTTAAAGACAACATTCGATGATGTATAAACATCACTCCGGAACTCTGCAAGAGAGCGTTTCAGAATTTGCGCGCGTGATTTGAAGAGTATGTCCAAAGCGATGGCAAACATTTGGATGGAATGATATTTAAGAAATAAAACCCGCCCAATTTTCGAATATGTTGATAGTAATGAATATTTTATTTTCATTAAGTTTGTATTTTCCTTCTTAAATCAAAAAGTGAACATTCTCACTGAACACCCGATTTTCCAAAGTTGTCGGTGAAAACATTAGTTTGTAATTGACGTTTGCAATATTTGGAATGGGGTATTTTTCCAAAAAAAATTTTTGGAAAATTGAAGTTCTTTATCTAAAAATATATATTGAGTAATTTACTTTTTACTTTGAACAAAAAGTTACAAAAACTCCACATCAAAGTTTAAAAATAAAATTTGCCGCCAACTGTGTGACGTAATTATCTCTGGCGTAACGTAGTGATATTTTCTCGGCCGTCTTCATAGAATGTGACTCTACATTTGTCCGATGATTACCGTGTGACAAGGTCAGAAGATATTCCCATTTTGTTCTACAAAATGGTTGGTAGCTATTTGCGTCCTGTGTCTTTGCTATTTTGACAGATGATAATAAGGCTATGATTTATGATGCATTGTGACCTTGTTGTTGATGTTTTGGTCTTGTGATTTTGCTTGTGCAGCATGGAGCAGTGACTGATTTGGAATTAAGCTTTTTAAATACACAATAAAAATATGGAATAAAACTCAGTGAAAGCCGATTCTTCAAATTTACCGAAATGTAAAGGTTACAAGTGAGGTGCCAGAATCAACAACACAAAGCACGAAACAGAAACAGGCGACACCACTCTGTCACTGTCAAAAGTCAACGGTTGGTGGGACCACACTGTTGCCAAATTGTGTCGAAGTACAGCTATGTATAGACAGGTACACCATTAGACAACTCTGTGAACTTTCATGAAATACCTTAGTACATGGCAATAGCGCTAAATATGATCCTTGATAAATATTGTCACATTCTAATGAGAACCTTTAAAAAAATTGATTCCTATTGGCTGATTTGTTCGGAGGGACATACAAGAGGCTTAAATGATCTGGTGGTATGAACTTCAAATGTATTTTTCTCAGCAAATGAGTCAAAAAAACACGAGTAAAGTGTATCTAATTGATGAATGGTTGTAAACAATCTATTTCAGCCATTAATATGACAATATCACTAAGTTGGAAAATACCCCATTGCTGCGTCTACTTCGGTATTCCTGCAAACATCCTGAATGCGTGGACGTTTGTACGGGATAAATGTCCAGGATGGAAACATCCAAGAAATTGATCCGAATATATGCAAAAAGCTTCGGCAGTATCTTGAAGACATTATAACTAACATCATATCGAAAAAATCATTATTGCTAAGTGTGCTGTTTTTGCTTCTTCCAAATTCGATTCATAAACCAAACACATCTGTTTACCCATACGATGCTCGTTGGCTGGCACGTCGTATGTTTCCACCTAATCGTTAGCTAGAGGCGTGGCAGCATTTGACATCACAGGTTTCTTTGGAACCTTATATCTAGGTTACCTAGTTCTTGTGTTACTAGAAAATGTTGCTTATTCTTTCAAGAACTGTACGCCGTGTAAGTCCCAACTTTCAGAACAACCTGTATACACTTTATACTATTTCTTTTAGGCCCGTATCGTCAGTCGTCCCTACAATTGTAGGGCGCGTTTATGGTCTCCTTGATTGTCATACTCCTTTCTCTCCTTCAAAAATTTCTAGACTACACTTGTCCCGTGTCAGCATCAGCGCTCTCCTATTGTGAAGATATGTTTTCTTTTTAAATTGTAGGAAATTTCAGGCTGATAAAACATTATATAACTCAAAAGCAAGCACAATTTGATGCAAACAGATGTTTGTGACTTAACCTCAAAATAGAGCGCTGACACGGAGAAGTAGAAAACTACGACAATCAAGGAGGCCATAAAGGCGCCCTACAATTGTAGGGACGACTGACGATACGGGCCTTAGACATAACGTTGTCTGCCATGTTTGACTCATATTAATGTGTCCTGACGTCATACCTTTTCTAAACACCAGCTGACAGCAGCATAACCTCTCACACTGTTAAGCATATAAACATGACTTCTATCGGTTTGCATGAAAAATTTAGTAATTATCATTATTCTGTCACCCGAGGATGTAAAAACACATCGATAAAGACCCCAGGAAAGCTGTAGATTAGAGTGCTCAGCGAATTAAATATACGCAACACTATGTATTGCTTGGAGCATACGTTATCGTAGGGCATATTTTATATTGTAGTGTGCAGATTTTATCATTTCGTCTAACTTGGATATAACCTACGAAGAAATACAATATTAGATAAAATTATATAGAGGTTATGAAGCATGAGCTCAGTTTTGAATGACTTCTGAAAAGCAAGATCATACAAGTCTTGTTCCTCAGCTCAATAGAACATAAATCCGAGTTGAAGGCAAAAAATTACCAACCATCATGGTATCAATTTTTGGTAAAATTGTACTTTCTGCTTTTACAAATCCAAAATACATGATGGCTTTTGCAATAAAAGGAGAACACGTTTTTACATTGAATAGGAGTTTTTTAAAAATATTGATAGGACACAACTTCAGTCCACGAGTGACATATGGATGACGTTTCTTTGTTTACAATTTGTATGACGTCACATCATGGCCAATAGCGTTCTCACCGTTTCGTAACAAAAACGAACAATCTCTTTTAAATTCTATCTTGCGTTTTTAAAAATCGAAATCGATATTTTCTGTTTTCCTAAGGCAAATGTAAGTGAATTAGATCTGAATCAAGTAGCCTATTATCTTTATATGCGATTGTCGATTTTTCGATGATTCTACAACATTTTTTGTTATTCAGGGGAGCATCACGAGAGGTCGGGGTCTGACCAACTGCCTTCGAACCTGGATTCTGACAGGAGTTCGACGTCGCCTGTTGCAGTGAAACCAGCACTGACGATACTAGTAACGCTAGCGATGACGTGCCTGACTGCCCTTTGGTAACCTGATCTTCTGATCGTGTGATCGCCGTCCAACAGGAAGCGAATCGGTCGTTTTATAAACGGAAGAGCGCTTTGACTGGAACTGTAACCAATAACGAGCGTGTGTGATTCCTTTCGGATAAGTTGTGTTGAGTCTGTTAGCCAAATGTTAACGATAAGTAGACCATTTCCAATTGCGTGTGTCGTATACCTGAAATCTAAGCTGTTCAAGAATGATGAGATGATGGATATGTCTAATTAAAAAAATAATTATACAGGAAGAAATAAGATTCATAGAAGTCTCTTAACAAAAAAATGTATATTACCTTGTAAGGAAAAGCCCTAAAAAACATACAGCTAAACAAAAACAAAATGTCACTCATAACAGGACCGATTTGAAGAAGGTTTTACTTTAGAAGGCTCCTTCAATCAAAGATGTGATACTATCAAAAGTGATGTACCTATCTGATAAAAAAGCCCGTCTCTTATTTCATTTATTTGATAGCAGTTATACAATTTATCCTCCGCTCTCATTACCAGGGTAATCAAATAAACAAACGATTTTTGATTGATCGAGAGGATCATGAGATAGACGATTTTTATGAAATGGTATGTGGTATAAGTCTGCTATGCACAATATAAGGCTGGTTTAGTTAATGTACATTGTAAATAATTATCAAAATCAGTAATTGCGGAGGCAAGTCTAGAACTTAGACTCTTCACGTACTCACTTCATTTGAACTTCTTTCATCATTTTCATTACCATTTATAGCCTTTTGTACATATCGAAGTGCCTTAAAATATCAAAAAAATCTGTATTGTTAGTCACATTATTTACGTAATTTGAAGATACAAAAGTACGAAGAAAGTCAATATTGTCAGCTTCAAGGCTTATATTTCTCCATACATTTGTATCTTTAGATGCCTTATTTTTCAATAATCTCTCGCTAATATCGATGCGAATTGTACTGAATATTTAGTACTAAAGAAATTCGAGGACCCATCATCTCATCAATCGTGGAACATTATACTTTTTGGCTGTGATTTCAGGTTATCATATTATTTAGATAGAGTGACCTGGCATATAAAGAGACAGTTACTAGGGTTTGATACGTTCCAGTGAAAATTAATTATCATTTAAGTAAGCTCCATATCAGTAAGTCAAACAAATGGTACGCTTTTCTTCCATCTGACAATTAAGAAGACGAAGATATGTATTGCAGCAAAAAAGAAGTCGTGGAATTGATTACCGAAAAAGGATTGTGTAACTAATTTTATGTATGCATACTTATTGTTTCGTTCTTTAGTTTTTAATAGTAATAATTACACAGATTAACAGTAATGGCTGTAGCCGATTTCAACAACAAGGCCTTCAACAAATTCACGATTTGCCTTGGAGTCTTTTATTGTTAACGATAAATTAATCTCCAAAAATAAAATGTACTGTGACCTAAGCAATACATATCTACAAAAAGTATATACATAGCATATAGGAAAACTGACAATTCATTGACTGTGCATATTACTTTACGTTCACAAGAATATAATAGAGTTCATTGTTTTAAATGAAGCTAATAAATTGAACGTAAATTTGGTAATAATCCCAGTGTTTAATTTTCCATAATAGTATTACCTCATCTTATTATTTAGCAGGTAAATGTTTAGATAGCTAACATTCCTCCGTTTTGGTCACTCAGACTACAAAAAATGTGTAAGGTTTAGTGTTTGTTTGTGATCTAGTACTTATTTGTTATTAAATTGTAAATACAAGATTGTTGAGGATAAATTAAGTGGAATTTTCATTAAATACGTACAATAACTTATTAAGGATTCCGCAATTTTGATAATTTTTTTACAAGCGATTTGCGTATATCAATATGAAAAAATTACGGTGTTCATATCTGTACTAGAACTATGATGAAATATAAGCAATAAATTATATTTTTTTCACAAGTGTCTTTCATTTCTATCCTGTTGTGATTTTTCGCACGTACTAGACGTTTTCGGACTGTCGGAAGTGGAGGTACCACCCGGCGGATCTCTAAGGCGGTCTCATGCACACGTATTCTCTCGCTACAATCCGTGTGACGTTCCCCCTTTCCCCTGTATCCGCCTATGGCCCCTCGGTACCCACGGATGTTTAGGCGTTGAGCATGCGTTGTTGTTCAAGTATAATAAGAAAATCATAAATGACATATTCTCCACCACCTCCATGAGGTATAATAAATACCAGCAACCAACTAAAATCGATGCACTCGTCATGAAGCATCCAAGGATACAGAACCTCAAATCCCGAAATTGTCAGTATCGCAATACTGCCTAAAAATGAGTGTCTACACGAGTGAAATGCGCTTGAAAAAAACATGATATTTATGAAAAAGTACATTCATAAAATATTTGAGCCTCCTGTGTCATTCTATAGGAAACCATCGTCTTTCCTTGATATGATATAAAGACAGTGGAGTTCAGGAAGCTATTTTCATTTTCTCGTGGAAAAATCCTAGTTGCTATACGATTTCGCTAGATATCGCACCAATCGCAGAATTTTCACTTTTCCAAAACCTATGAATGAAGAAGAATAGTGATGGCAAAGAAAATATTTGAATATTTGTCGATTATAGTAATATGACAAGTACTGGATGATATGCTTGTAAAATAGCTCAGTATGTCAAAGTATCTGTGTTTCGGTAAAAAAATCCTATATACCTATGATAAAGTCATCACTAAAAATATGTACTCACTAACTCACTCCTTTTTGTAGATTTTTTTAACGAGCACCAAAAAAAGAATAAATTTATGCCCCATATGACATCATCAGCCACACAAAGCACGTATTTAAAAAAAATGGCGTGAAGCAAAGGATCATGTTCAGCACAAGTTAGCCGTTCTGAGAGGAAAGCTAGTTACAAGCAACTTCAGGTCCATCCAATTAGTCCATGGACATTTTCCCCTATCCTACAGGTAGTACCGACCATCTGGGAACGTTGCCCCTCCCGCGGCAGCGTAGCACAGCGGCAATAAAAGAAGCAGACTCTGGTGAGCCCGAAGAACAGAAGCAGAAGACGCATATCAAAAAAGTCTCTCTATTTTTGGCTTTGAGGGCAAATATACGGGCAAATCTATGATGTGTGAAATATGTTCAATAGGTGCCAGGATTTGGAGTAAATCACTGGACAACAAATTTTAGTTTTTTAATTGTATCTTGTGGTAAAAGTGCACTTCTTTGTTAATTTTGGGGCGCTGAATCCAAAAATAACAATGAAATAAAAAAATTAGTTGCGGTTTAGAAAAAAAACTTTTTATTTTTAAGGATATATTAAAAAAAGTAACAAGATTCATATACTTATAAGAATCACTATATGCGCTGTCTTTTTGCTGTTCTTTTATGGATCGTTTCTGGAGCATCTCTACCAAGAGTCCAACAGTAGTCTGCAAGCATGGAAGGATTCCACTTTCCCTGGTACCTTTTTTCCATTGTTGAAATATCCTGATGAAAACGTTCGCCGTGCTCATCACTTACGGCTCCGCAATTGTCAGGAAAAAAGTCCAGGTGTGAGTGTAGAAAATGTATCTTAAGAGACATATTACAGCCCATCTTTTGATACGATGACAGCATATTTTTGACAAGGGTTTTATAGTTGTCAGCTTTTCTATTTCCCAAGAAATTAGTGACCACCAGACGGAAATCATTCCAAGCAGTTTTTTCAATACCTGTTAAAGTGTTTTCAAACTGTGTATCTTTCAAAATATTTCGAATCTGTGGCCCAACAAAAATACCTTCTTTAACTTTGCCTCACTTAGTCTTGGAAATTTCTGACGCAGGTATTGAAAAGCTGACCCATCTCTATCTAATGCCTTGACAAAGTTTTTCATTAGGCCCAACTTGATATGCAGTGGTGGTAATAAAATTTTTTTCGAATCTACTAATGGCATATGCTGTACATTTTTTTGACCTGGCTCTAGGAATTGACGAACAGGCCAGTTTTGTCTGGTGTAATGAAGTGCCTTTGCCCGACTGTCCCATTCACACAAAAAACAGCAAAACTTTGTGTAGCCTAGCTGCAGCCCAAGTAAAAGTGCAACAACTTTCAAATCGCCACAAATATGCCATTGGTGCTCATCGTATTTTATGCATGTCAATAGGTACTTCATATTGTCATATGATTCTTTCATGTGAACTGCATATCCTACAGGAAGAGATGGTAGAATATTTCCAATATGCAATAACACTGCCTTTAAACTCAATGTTGAACTGTCTATAAACAATCTCCATTCTTTTGGGTTATAGTTTATGTTTAAAGCCGCCAGTAAGCCGTTAATGTTACTGCAGAAAACTAAGTTATTCACCATATTGAAAAATGGTTCTAAGTCTTTGTGGCGTTTACGAGAAACACATACCGAAACATCGTCTTCTAACAAGTTCCACTGCTGCAGTCTTGATCCAAGTAACTCTGCCTTACATTTTGGAAGTTCTAAATCTCTTACAAGATCATTTAATTCTGACTGTGTTATTTTGTGCGGTTGGTGGCATGACGTGCTCGGTATAAAATCAGGATCTCTTGACGTTGATGGCATATCTTCTTCCTGACGAATCACTCGATCGCCATGATCTGATTCGTTTTCTGATTCGCAAGTGTAGGATTCTGGGGCTTTTGGAATAGGATTTTCGTCACTGTAAGGCACAGGTCTCATCGCAGATGGTATGTTTGGGTAGTTAATAACCGATTTTTTTTCTTGGACATACCTGTGGCTTGTCGAACACAAGGTACCATGTAAAAGTAACAATCATTAATATGATTTGTAGGCTCTCTCCAAACCATTGGGACAGCAAAGGGCATAGACCGTTTTTTGCCATTTAACCAGCTCCTCAGACTTGAAGCACATGTATTACAGCAGATGTGGGGTGCCCAGTGTTTGTCTTGATCACCTAGTTTACAACCGAAATAAAGCTGATATGCCTTTGTTATTAGTGGAGTATTAGACCGTCTCTGAGACGCAAAAGTCACATCACCACATACGTAACAAAACTGATCTGGATTGTTTACACACTTTCGAGACATCTTGCATGTACGCTGTTAGCCAACTGAGGAAAAAATGGCTAATATAAAACAATATAATGTACACGTATGTATAACGTAACACAATCATGCCGATTACATCATCTTTCCTTGCCGAATATAAAAATGTAGCACGTGCATTCTTGTGAATAACAGTATATTAACACTGTCACAGCAGGAACACATATAATTACCGTATCTCTAAAACTTGAACTAATATTGAAAAAATAAGTTTCATTCCGGTTTTAGCACATTAAAAATAGTAATATTTTGTTGATTTTATTTAGGATATTTTTTGGCTGTTGATCAGTGAATTATACTAATATCAAAAAATTGAGATATATATCTTCTTACAACTCCCAACCCCCCATTATTAATACCTAAAGAATTTTTTCTGAAAACGATCAGGAACTTCTGAAACGTCAAAAAACTAAGTTTGAACATTGTCATTTTTTTTCATGTGTGTGCCCCTAGCTTCACCGGCAAAGAACCGATTTTAAAAAAATGAGAGCCTTTTCGTCCTTGGCATAGTAGTAACCTTGTGTGAAGATTTCATTTTTCGTGATGTTTCAGTCATATAACACGTATTTGCCAACCTCATTTATTTGTTTTCCGCAATCTGACTCCATAAAACTAGATCTATACCACACTCATCAAATTAAAAAAGCATAAAACAACGTTGTATTCGGTTAGCTACAACCTCAGAGATGAAAGGCAAACAGATCCTATTCAGCCTGCAGTAGAAAGCTAGTCAGATGAATATCTCTATCAACGATTATTGGTCCTAATGTGTTCCCATCTCGCACCATGTCCAGAAGGTGCTTACTGACACAGTTTATCCAGCTGGATTTTCCTCCGACAACGCACGCCCTGGAAAATCATCCGATTCGCAATGTCGGAATGTAGATAGCGCTAACGTCGCAGGATTGCTTTGAAGTTTAAGCTCTTACAGTGTTGCCAAGAGGCTATCTTCAAAGTCCTTGTAGATACAGCTACAAATCTTTATCACCAAAACTAAGAACAAGCGGATAAAAAAGCGATGACTTGGTTAATATCAGAACATAATGTATATATGCGCTTTCAAATTTTTGTAGTTGTAATAATGTTTATCGATCGTGTGTATATTTATTGTTGCTTTTTTATTTTATTTCTAATGAATGTCATCATTACCTTTTACCTTTTTTTGACTTCCGCAAACACGCACTGCATATTTAGCAGTAAATAAAGAACTGATTGCGATTGCTTCAATTTGGTAGCTTTCTGCAGTGATCTCCTGAAGTCCTGAACTGAAGTAGCTTATCGGTTGTCAGTCGACTCGAGTGTAATAAGCGAAGGCTTACCACCTAAATACCGGGGCACCGCGGCTGCTACAAGGAGCTTAATTGCTGTTCCTATTTTTGGACTACCTAAGGTTGGCAGAACTGGGAAAAAACCCCCACATGCAGACTGTCCCACAATCTCGACACCCTAGGAACGACGGCGTGGATATACCGGCCAGTTCTCGATGCGCGAAGTTCATCTGAGTTGGGATGGGAGGCAGAAGCCCGGCGTGTCCCTCTGGCAGGTTCAACGCCGGCGGGATCATGGAGAAGAACTCTGAGTTTCGGTAGAAGAGAGCAAGATTGGCGACCGCCCTCTGTGTGAAAGGGTATGAGACTGTCCGTTAGAGAAGCTGCTAGGACTGTTTTAGCGAAAGCGGTAAACTGTTAGCGGGAGCGTTAGACGAATAATCTGTGATATCAACCAATTTTTTTGATACTACATCCCAGATACTAAGTATATTCTGGATTTCCTGATTTTTTTTTTCAAATACAAACAATTTTCCACTAATACGGTTGACGTTTAAAATTGTTAACCTGACCTATCTGTACAACATTCAAACTTGACAACTCGATACATGCATGCGCATGCGCTCTACTATACGCTAAATGGGTAAACCAGCAAAAATCTCAAAACAGTTGGGCTGAATGCGGTGTCGTTTAACGCTTGAACTGTCAAAATATAGACAGGCTAAGGTGTGAATCGGTGCGGGATTCAGCACGCCAAGGGCATAATGGCTTATTGCGCAACAGATACATACGAAACTTTATTGACAATCGGTTATAGGGTAATTAAGAAATGAGGTTCAAGTCGGTCGAGACTGTACTTCCCACGCAATTCTCTCATTAATTAAGCTATGTTCGATTTATTCCCAGGCCTAACGCCATATCAACTATTAAAACAAATTGATCAGAGCAATTGCATGCACGTTATAGGTACGTTCGATCCACATAACACAAGGTTTATTCAAGAGACTCTGATAAAATTGAAACCTGACTACGTCTGATCGCCTGAATGGAAATTAGTTATTATTGAAATTTTACACTTTTAAATCTCAAGCTATACAAAATAACCGGTTTACATTTATGCTTCAATCGCAAAAGTATGAATATATGTGTGAATGTTATATCTTTCATCTACAGTACGCGTAATATTGCTAGGATCAGACATTCCGTAATAATAAAACGACTGTCATTAATACTATGTGATTGATGTACCCTCCCTTGAAATTATTCTAAGACCAAAAAGCTGTGTTAAATTTTCTTATAATACAGAAAAGAAAAAGCAATTTCTAATGCCGATACCGAAATTTTCGCCAACCCGTGGTAAAATATACACCGTACGCCCATGGCCTGCGCGGAGGCAAAAGCTAAGGTCAAGGACGTCTCTCTGTACCGTTACTGCTAAGGCCAGAATTGGAATTCGAGTCGTGTAGTGCAATTGCCGTGGTTCAAACTTCAACGTTCTAATTAGTCTGAGAAATGCAAACTTAGGCACCCGCAGGGGAAAGCTACAGCTCGCTCTTCAGAAGGTTTTTGGGGTGGGTACATTTTCACAAAAGTTATCTGTCGCCGATGATCAACCCCCTGATAGAAGTTCCTGCGAGTGCCCATAGGTGCAAAGTATTACCAAGATCAGAAGTTATTAGGACATCTTTCACCATTATAAACATACAACCTGCTAAAATTGTACATTTTCAATGTTTTCTGAAAATGAGCGCGAGTATCAAAAATCACAAAAACGAAGTTTGTGTGATTTTCATATTATTTTTTATTGTTTTTGCCCGTAGCTCCGTCGTCACTGGATCTGTTTTCAAATCCTAAAAAGCTTCTTCGTCCTTGGCATAGAAGTAACCTCGCGTCAAAATGTTATCAGACTCTGAGCAGCGCTTTCCACGTTATACTCGTAGATGTGTCAAGGATCAGCGGACAGGCAGACAGGCGGACATACTTGTACACATCAAAGGAATTGAATGACATGGTTTTTCTAGATGTGCATACAATATTAACATATAAAAAACATAATACGTCTTTCCCAATTGACGCAGGAAGTAAAAAGTAGCTTAGCCTTTTTCTACACATGAGCTTAATTTTTTTTTCTCTTCTATGAGCATTGACGATAGTGGAAGTTTAGGATATTTTGCCGTAGTCGAGTCTATGGGACCTATAGGGTATAGAACTCCTGATAACACTATTTATACCACTGTACCAGCCCCTTCCCACTTCAGTTGGCCCACTTCAAGATTTGTACCAAAATATGCCTTTATAAACTAAACATGACGAAACTATTTACTTCTAAAACAATTTATTTTCTCAAAAACATTTTAGATGCACTGTAGTCGCAAAAATACATATTTGAAATCACTTATACCTCACATATAACTAATAGAACATCTGAACAAATAAACAATGTGCGAATAAATGCGCGAAGTTAACAAAGCAACAACTGAAAGATTACCATTGGGTAACATCACCTTTATTTTTTATTACGGCTGAAATTCTTTGGGGCACAGTGTTAACCAAGTTTTGGCAAAAATTCGGTGTAAAACAATTCCATATTTCTTGAAGCTTTTGTCTCAGTTCGGTGATTGTACGAGCAGGATGTTGTCGTAGAACCTATTTCATCTCGTGCCACAAAGTTTCAATAGGTGACAGATATGGACTGCTAGAAACCCATTTAAAAAGTGGTACATTATTTTCTTCCATCCATTTTAAAGCCTTTTTTGGTATGGCACACTGCACCATCTTGCTGAAACACAAAATCTTGGCCGGATGTCAAACCTTCTTCCATCACTGGTAAAAGCGCTTCTTCTAAAATTGCCGAATATTTGTCTGTATCCACATTTCCATCAATAAAATGACGTTTTCCTACTCCTTTTGATGACATACTGCCCCAGACCATAATGGATGCTGGAAATTTCACTTTTCTCTTCAGATCGTCAATATGGAATGCTTCATTTTTTTGCAAATAACTACTGGGACTGTCACCAATACAAACTTCGAATCGGGCCTCATCACTCCATTGTATTGCACACCATTGTTGAGGTGTCCATTGTCTATGTTCCTTAGCCCATCTAAGCCGATTCTTCTTTTGCAGTGGAGTTAATAGTGGTTTTTTGTTTGGCCTATAAGCAAGTTGTGCAACTTTAGGGTTTTTACTGCACTTTTTTTATAAGAAAACTTACCTTTCAAGTGCTAAATCCTAGTTTGTGGGAATCGCTATGAGTTGTGGACCTCGAAATTCTCCTTCCAACAGCGTCACTCCACAGATCACTTAATTGTAAATAATTGGCGCGCCTGTTTTTCACGATTATTCTTCTTAATGCTCTTCGGTCGGCATTTGTGATATTACTTTTTTTCACATATCGTGGCTTAACATTAACTGAACCAGTTACGTTACATCTTCTAACAATATTTCTCACACTGTACCGCGATAAGTCTAACAAAGTTGCAATTTCTCAGTTTGATTTCCCAGAATTAAAAAGTATCAGTAACCGAATTTTCTCACTAATAACCTTTCCTCTACCCATTTTGAAAATCTTAACTACCCAAAACTATTTTAAACGTATTCTGACAGCTGTGATAAATAAAAACAATTGACATGGCTTTTATTTTTCACAGCCACCTATGCGTTTATAGACTTATATTCCATTGAAATGAAAATAGGTTGATATGCTGTAATTGCAACATGTGTTATTTTTATGCTGCGAATTTGATTAGGGAGTGATAAAGTTGGTGTTTTCTACTATATATTAGCAAAATATTAATTGTTAATATTTTGAATCTATAACACCCTGCTACATTTTTATTATTTGTGTTTGATAAAAAAAACTAAGATTTCAATAGTTGGGCCAACTAATGTGGGAAGGGGCTCGTATAGAACTTTTTACTGTCTTGTTAATAAACGTATTTGTTCCATGACATTCTTCCGTTACATCTCCATGTTCCGTATGACAGGGCTAACGACAGCCTTTAACGTTTATTCAAATTTTGAGGTTCATTGTAACATTTTTCTCGATGTAGGAGTCCAAAATTATTTCCAAACATGGTGCTGCTAGATATAGCTGTTATAGTACTAAAGGTAATGACGATGACTATACTAGAAATAACTTTATTGCTGATAACGATGACCCGAAGTACGATGAAAACACTGACAGTGATCATAGCAGTTTTCATGACCGTTTCATTGGTCACCAGTAGAACGTTCAAGATTGTGAGGATAATCTTAGTTTTCGCAACGAAAGTTGTCCTTGGAATTCTGAGGCTATTCTTCGGAGGTAAAGAACCATCAGGCGACTACATAGATGCATGTGTAGGAAGTGAAGATAGCGAGAGCGATATCATAGACAGGAAGGCGGTTCGAGCATCAGGGGACACTGATTTCAGGAGTGATTCAGAAGAGCTTGAATCATAGCGATATATTGTGGAAATATGTAAGATATGTATGGGTTTAAATAAATTAGAAGTAGGGTAACAATGATTTGCTTTTGTTCTCAAGATCTCAGCAGTTCGTTTAGTTCTTATTATCGTGAAAAACTAATAACCATATCTTCTGTAGATCTACTGTAGCGCTCCATTTGAAATTTCGAAAAAACAGTACCCTGTTTTGTTGTTTTGAAAGAAACGACAGTCTCCGCTTTTAGGTTTCTAAACTCAAACATTTGATATTCATATTGACATAAAAGCCAGGAAGATTATTGGTTTAGGCATCAATAACATGTGCTAGACTCAATCCTCATATTCCTTGAAGTATCCATATTAAATCTAAGCAAATCACCTACACTTGAATTACTATGAAAAACTGTATCCTGAGTGACCATTCTGCCATTCTAGGGACTCAGATTGCCCTATAATTTGATAACCTACTTTCTCCCTAGATGGCAGTAGTCACCTTCTTGCGTACTAATTGAGTTTTTCAGTAGTCAACAATATATGCGTCTCAGCAAAATATGCTTCAAGTGACTTTTTGAAACGCCGCTAGGATCTAACCTCATCTGTCAAAAATCGTTCAGCAGTTTCAATCATATTTTGGAGCTTTACCATCAAAACGTGACATTAGTCATGTTCAACAAAACGCAGCACTACAGTATCGATATTTTATTTTCTGTTGAACGCACACTATCACTTTGAAAGCTGATACCATCATGATGATGATATCATAACCAAAATAAGCTCCGCTCTTGATCAAGTGATACATCGAATACTGTTTCATGGGGTTCAATGTTTTGTGTTTGCTCTGTCCGGTTTGAAAACAGTGCAATATCTTGCTAAAATTATGCTAGAAGGTTTGACAATGGCGAACAAACCTAAAATGGGAGGAAACAAGTATGAAACAATTTCCATTTAGTTACTGAATTAGCAGAGGTTCATTTCATGCTACAGAGTTGTAAAGTTTCGTTTAAATGTCTATAGTTGTGATCACCGTTCTTGGCTGGTGAAAGTAAGACTACCAGTATCCATTTATACTAAGTGACATATAAATCCGAACACCCAGCTTAAATGGTTTTATTTTAATAAAAGTTGGTGAATGTATTTATCTTACTGTAACTAACAAGTGAAAAAATTTTCAGCCTTATCAGTTGAACATTCCGGTTTTTATACTGCTTTTTTTTAATTCACTAACGCTCTAAAAATGAATATTTCAGCCTCAGTAAAGAATCAACGTTGGCGGATTTTGGTTCTTGACATCCTTTACGATCGGTTACGATGCCTAGAGTACGGAGACCTGTACGATTTCGTCAACTTAGTGAGTTTGATAGGGGCCGTATAGTGGGACTTCGGGAAGCTGGACTTTCTTTTCCGGCAATTGCAGTTAGAGTGCAAAGAAGTGTAGACACTGTGGTTAGGTGTTGTCAGGCATGGCTTCGAGAAGGCCGTACGCAAAGAGCAAGGGGTACTGGACGCCGCCGTAGAACAACAGACCGTGAAGATCGCCGCCTAAGATTATTGGCCTTAAGGGACCGTTTCTCCACTACCAGGTCCATTGCAAATGAATGGTTTGCAGAACACGGAAGACCTATTGGCATGCGAAGTGTTTACCGACGAATGTGAAGTTTTGGCTTGTTTTCATACCGGCCACACTGGGTCCTCCCTTTAACTCGAGAACACCGACGTAATCGCCTTGAGTGGTGCAGACAACGGTCACTCTGGGATCAGGAATGGAACAGTTATTGTCTTTAGTGACGAGCCTCGACTTTGTTTAGGCATGCACGATGGTCGTGCCAGGGTTAGAAGGCAACGTGGTGAAAGGAGGAATCCACAGTTTTTTGTTGAAAGACATGTTCATCACACTGTTGGAGTTATGGTTTGGGGTGCTATAGCTTATGGTTCCAGGTCACCTTTAATCTTCATCAGAGGCTATCTTGACACCCTGACAGATCCAACTTTCCAACAAGATAATGCCCGACCACATGTTGCAAGAGTCACAATAGACTTCTTTCAACATAATGATGTCACATTGTTACGATAGCCACCAAGATCTCCCGACTTATCCCCAATTTAGCACGTGTGGGATATGATGGGTAGGAGATTGCTCAATTTGCAACGTCCTCCTCAGACTCTAGAAGCACTTCGAGACGAGTTGGTGGTTGCCTGGAATGAGATACCACAGGAGGACATTGACCACCTGATCAGAAGTATGCCTGGGCGCGTTGGAGAATGCGTAGCACATCAGGGCGCATCCACACATTATTAAAGGTCAAAGGGCTTTAAAGTAGTGCAATCATTTTGAAATTTTTATCATTTACTTATTATGCTTCATTAAGTACTTATACAAAATTTTATTAAAATAAAACCATTTGAACTGGGTGTTCGGATTTATATGTCACTTAGTATATTTATCTCCATCTCCCTCGTACATACACATGCACCCTACCCCTGTGTGTGAACGTTTGTTCGGTAAGCTCGAAGACATAGGTTTTTTAGTTGTGTGTCTCCCTCTCGAACTCTTTGTCGTTACATATGAGTGTCCTTCAATCATACTTGTTAGAGTGACAACTTACTTGGCAGCGGCGTGCAATTTGAGTTGTCCTGTTCTCAATCTTCAATATAAAACTGTACATTGCCCGAAAATACGATCACTGGAGAAAGCCAATAGCTCGTGCTAAATTTATTAGAGTATTTACAGGAAGAGAATGAAAACAGCGATTCCGTGTTACCCACTTCATGCGCACTGGAGAGAGTAGCAGATGGCTGAAGATTAGTCTGTGCCCATGGTACGGAGACTCGATCTGTTTACTTATTTCATATCGCGTTGATGACGTAACCGCCAAGAACAGTGGCTACAACTATACCTATAAGATTGTAGATCTGAAAGCTGTCAGCTGTCAAGCCCAGTGTACACGTATCAAAATGTCGCTCAGCGGTTAGCTCTTCGAAAAGCAATAAAGCACCGGGGGTGCTACGTTGTTTTTTTGAAAAAAATGTCACCTTGGAACTTCAAGTTCACTTGTATTAGCTGTGCGTGTTGCCTAAACGTCATAACACTTGAGCTATATGGTTTAGCGTGATGTGATGTAACATCAACTTCAGAGGTGGCACTAGAGGAGAACATTTATAGCTTGTGTGGCCCAAGCTGTAAGTTTTATACTATATTTCGCTGTGCTATTCCTCCATAAGTGACGTTCACAGCGAGAACATGCGGCATGGACTAGCGACCAGCCAGTACACAAGTTGACATTATAGTGATTTTTAATGTCATTTTATCGATTTTTTGGCTAACAACCCTGTCGATAATTGTTAACAAGTTCGTATACTGTTGATCCTAGGTTTGACAGGCAGACAAATTCAGCATCGCCTGATCCTTGTCTATTGTGACCACACCACAGTAAGGCTCTGGAGCTCGTAAGTGACTAGCTGGACAATTTCGAATGCCTTTTTATCTTTTTTGTGGTTCAATATGACGGATATTAGCAGGTATGTACGAAACGTTGGTAAATGTGTCAACGGGGCACACGAGCGGAGGTCGGTGTATGCGTGGTTCGGTGGAAGAGGCCTCTTACTGCCGGCGCGTTTGTATCGATCTGTTGGGCGCCGGCGCAGATCGCTCCGCCGGCCAGCACGAGCCAGTCGCGAGCGAGAGACGGCCGGCACAACTTCGGCCCGGGCGGGGAGGACACCTCTCTCTCACCAGCTTCCAAACACCAACACCACCACAACTAGCAAGCAGAGTGACTGACGAGCTTTGAGCCATCGACGGATATAGCCGCAGCAGGTTTGAGCCGATCGACGGATATAGTGCGGGAGTCGCGAGCTGTCGACGTTCGTGTGTCGCGCGAAGAGACGGTGAAGGTGGCATGGCCCGTGCGGACCGCGGGGGCCTTCGCGTCGGGGGCGCCTGTGGGCCCAGGGGCAGGGGCTTGGGCCCCCGCGGATAGGGCCGGTGACGGGGCGGGAGGCCGGAGCTCGACCGACCGTGGCCGCGAAGGAACATGAGTGATGGAGGTCGTGCTGGGTACGGGGGGGCCAGCAGGAGCCGCCGCAACAGTCGCCATCGGCAGCCTTAGGAGCAGCCTTCGGAGCAGCGCCAGCCGATCGCAGCGATGCGCCCGGTCGCTGACGCTGACCACCGAGCCGCCGCCTGTCCCACCACCACAGAATGCCCCGGGCCCATGCAGCGGCCCCCCGCCTCTACATCAGTTGCAAAGTTTCGCTGCTCGCGGCACTCGTCATCCTGATGGCTACGGCCGGCCTACTGGCCACTTCCAAAGCCACACAAACCAACACCCTGCGACGCTACGATTACTATACCAACGGAGATCACCACTTCTATCACAGCAAGCACACAGTACGTTAATCAACCCTAAATCAAACTATCAGTATCAGAGTATATCACTAAATCTATACCAGACAAATCCCATCGAGCCCTATAATTCCACTGGACATGCAAGCAATGGAGCTAAAGATTGCTAAAATTCTACATAAGAAACGTATTCACGTTTAAATGTCAATATTTATCTATTGTAACACTATGTCGTTCACCAAAAGTGTATACTAAACATCAACTAGTACATGCATGCGTTAGAAACTTCAACAAGCATATTTGGGAAAAACTAAGCTTCCCAGAAATATGCAAAATATCCACCAAGACGTTTGTATTTGGCTATGAGATTCTAAGACAAATAAAGTTGCTACAATAAAAAAGTGACGCCAGCCAGATCGCCCTCCCCCCACCATTAGTTCAGTAAATTCTAATTTTTCGTAAACCTCGTACCAAGTTCTTCTTCATAGTCACACCACAGATTTGCCTATCGTATCCCTACTTCAAAGTACCTCAACTGTTCCACGCTACCTTCAGTTATGCAACACTTCCAAATGTTTGGAAGATCACCTTAATCCCTATCCTCTGCGAAGTACCCTAAAATTGTAACGCCCAATTCACACCACTATTTCTAACGTTTCTCCTTCAATTTTGTA